GAACCTGATCACCACCAGGGCCTCTGGGGACTTTGAGAGGCGGGCGGTGGAGGTCGGGGGCACCAGTCGGTCACAGGGTTGGTTTGGACTCACCAGCAACTGATTGGCATGAGGAGCTCAGCTGACACCTGTACTTCATTCAGCCGGAGGTGGTGACTCCAGAGTGAACACAGGACACCTCTAGTCTCATCACTGGGGCCCCAGAAACAAGGTGGCCGGGTAATTTGGAACAAGGCATGGGATGGGAGGCACAGATCTCTATTTCCAGTTCTGCCTCCCTCCCTCATTATTTGCCGTCTAACTTTGGGCAAGTCTTATTTTCCACAAGCCTCAGTCTCCTCATCTGTAAAATGGGACTAATAATGGTAACCACCTCATCAACGTGGCAGGAAAGGTAAATGAGAAAGTGGAAGGAGACAGGCTTAGTAGACTTGGAGCCTGATGAGAGGGTTATCGCGGCCCTGTCAGGAGTCGTGGCCCCTGGGGATCTGCTGTGTGGAGAACACGTGCCCACGCAGAAGCTTGCTGGCCCTGCATCCCTGACGTGGAAGATATGTAATGGATCTCCGCGTGGCCAATCCTGGCTCCTTAATGGAAAGAGGAAATTTCTGCCTTGCGCTGGGTGGGCTCCCATAGGATTCTCCATCCTGGCATCTCCCTTCTCTCCTTTTAAAAGCAGCTCTTTCCGGACCCCTTGGCCCGTGAACTGTCACGCTCCTGATGGATAAACATTCTGAGAGCGATTATTTGGGGGTTGGCGAGATGCCCACAGGCTTTGGTGAGCCCATGGTTGATATTATTAATGGACGGCCTTTTTCCTCTCTTCTTAAGAGAGAATGTGAATGAGAGCTGCCCCCGCAGGAGGAGGGCACAGGACAGACACCCACGCCCCGGGCCAGAGGTGCTGCAGGGTCCTCCCCTGGGCTGACAGGAGGGTGGCAGGAGTGGTTTTACTCCGCATGGTCTCCAACCTCCAGTTCCTTTGCTTTTTTTCTTCCAAGGAAGAAAGAATCCTCATTTCCAGCTGGCTGAGGGGTGGTGAGCGACTCGGGGCTGGAGCCATAATTGGGCAGCGTGGTCAGGACCCAGGCAGGGCTGCTCTGTGATCCTGCTTCGAAGGGGAGAGTCCCTAATTGGTTTCTCCTATCTTAAGGCAGTTTCTCTCCAAAAACTTGGTCTCTTTGATAAGGAAGTAAAAAACCCCCCGGGGCCCTTGTTTGTAATTCTCTAGGCTATCAATTTGGTTCATGTCAGGAACCATCTTTATTTATAAACTTAGACTCACAATGGGTCTCGAAAATTTCTTTGAGTTTAATTTTGAAGAACTCCTAGTGTTTAGGCAGTTACTGAACCCAAATGGCCCACTGGAGGCTCTTGCTTTTATATTGGCCTTTGTGTGTCAAACCCAATTAGCATCTCTTAAGTTCCTTGAGAAGGTAAATAACATGAGGCCCATTTCACAGGCATTGACTTACTACCTATTGTATTTTTAAGATGAAATTAAAGGGTCCCTCATCCTTTGGCTTTTTAATATTCTTGTCCTTAAGCCCGGAGGCTGCCCTTCAATGATGAAATTAGTGAAAGAGAAAGGATCAGTTTAACCAGAGATGTCAAAGGTCAAGTCCCGAAGTAGCGCCTTCCCCTCACCTGGAAGTGGGAGCCTTACCTGTCTCCCATCAGCTCCTGGGTTCATTCCCGAGATTTGTTTTCGCCGGCTGTGATCTTTGAAAACTTAAGTTTTTACAGTGTTAGCTGGGGAACAAAATCATTACTAGAAATCGCTTTCTAGACATTTACTTTAAAATCACTTGAAATATCATGCATCTCATTAGAGCAGAATGAGTTGAGGTGCATGGATGTAGCTCTAGGCCTCCTAAGACAAAAGTACAATGAATGGGGGGGGGTCTGTTACCCACCCACCACCATGTGAGGGGTGCTGTGGAGCAGGGACTCCAATATGAAGATAATGTCTATTCTCAGCATGCCCAGGATTGGACAGCGAGGAGGAGAGGTTGGGTACAAGGAGAGGAAATAGGTAAAATCACTGAGACATAAACTAATGCCAGAGTGAGCTGAGAACACTTAGAAACCCCCATGAGAGGAGCTGCTGGCTGGGGTGGGCAAGATGCCATGAGGCGCGAGCTCCTTGCCCTGGGAGTGGGTGATCACAATATCAAGATGCTGATGCTGAGCCTGAGGATGAGAGTTATGTGCCGGTTTCTCTAGTTTTGAGGAAGGGGGAAGGAAAATTCATAGGAATTAAATAGCTTTGCCATGTCACAAAGGTAAGGGGCAGTGTCGGGATTCCAGTTCAGATCTGCCTTGTTTCCACAGCCCTGCCTTCAACCACCTCTGAGAATGTGTCCGTTACGTCAGGGTCTTAGGAAAGGACACGTTCCAATGTGCGGTTTGAAGAGAGTTAAGTGAGAGGACTGTTCACAAAGGTGTGAGCACAGTGCGAAAAGGTCACAACAGTGTAATAGATACCCCAGGGCTCCTGATGGGTGTGGGGCATTCTGGACTTTGAGCCTTCAAGGGGCAGGGGAGAGAGCTGTTACTGGAACCCAGAGAGAGAGTTATGTGGAGCCCTCCCATGCCAACCAGAGCCATGACCTTCAGCGGAGGGCCACAACCAGCCCATGAAGGCACTGCAGGGAGGAAGAGTAGGAGGGGTGAGGACCGGACTCCATCCCCAGCCTCCTGCTGGTTCCTGCACTGGCTGAACCCAACCAGAAGTTGTGCTGGGTCTCAGAGCTCCAGCGGTGCCCTGCATGCAGATCAGGTGAGCCTCCTGAGGCACAGGATGGGAGGAAAGCACACCTGGAGGGCAAGACAGACGATACCCAGCACAGCCTGTAATATCTAACGCGTCAGCTCTTGTTAGGATCTTTTCATAAGCACATTAGGGAAAAGTCTCAATAAACTTGGCTTTGCATGCGGGTTATTTTTGTTCAGAATCTCATTTTAGTTATCTCCTCTAGAGATGCCATTGTCATCAGAACTAGTTAGACAGCCTGGTGGCTTGCTTCCCTCCCGGCTCCTGTCTGGCCTATGCCGTATGCATCCCGCACAACCTGGAGAGTTGAGCCACCTGGGTTAAAGAGAAGGGAAGCATATTAATCTGGCACTGGACTCAGAGAGGTCTGTCTCAAGAGACTGAGAATGCCCTCTAAGTCTGGTGGCCAGGATCTTTGGACTCTTAATTAGCTAATAGGCTTTACAGAGGCCTACAGGCCCTGCATGATCTATACACTCACCTCTCCAGCCTGATCTCCTGCTGGAACCTCCCTGTCCAGCCACAGTGGCCTCTGGATGATCCAGGGACATGCATGGTCCCACCAGGGTGTTTGCACTGGCTCTTCCCTGTGCCCGAACGCTGCCCCCCACCAGGTACCTGCAGACCTTGCTCCCTTATTGCCTTCATGTGAGCGCAAATGTCATGTTCTCGAGACTTACCCTGACCACCCCCCTTAAACTGCACCACAATCCCCCAACTTCAAGCTCTGCTTTATTTCTTCTCTCATAAGTAGCACTGACCACCTTCTAATAGATACATAATTTGTACTTACTGCTTACATTTTTTGCTTATGGTGTGTTTCCAGCCACTTCTAGAAAATGAGCTCCATGGGGCAGGAATTTATTTTTCTCTCTTCCATTCACTCATGTGTTCCCAGTGCCTAGACTACAGACTGACACATGGCAGACACTCAGCAAATATCTGTGGAATGAATGGGTGGGTAAGTGAATGAATGAGATTCTCAAGGATCTCAAAATGGTCTGACCGCTGTCTCCCAGACCTCTCTCTTCACCGACACATATCTGCCAAAGACCTTTCCCAGAAATGCATCGATCATCTTATTATCACCAGGACTGTCGATACCCTGCGGCCAAAAGCATAGATTTATCAACGTGCCTCACATGCGCTCGGTAGAGGAAATGCACTCACGACTCTGGCTCAGCGTCAAAACTAAATGGTGACCTTGGCTTACTTTGCTTCCCCACAGAGGTTATTTCTTAATCATAAAGGGGACATTCTATCCTTGGGAAAAATAATATTTTTGCCACCTTCAGCTTTCAAATGGCTATTTGATATGGCTGGCGTGCATCCCTGTCGGTGGCGGCTGAAAACCCTCAGGTTGAGAGGCTTCGAGAAGGACCCGTCGCGTTGTCGGGGAGCGGCTCGTCCTAAGGTGGAATCAGTTTACAATAACTTATTTACCTGTCCGAGTCCTTCATATCACATTAAAGCTTTCCCCTGCCATCCGGGACTCTGGAGTGCTAAGAGGAAAAAGGAAAATCAATTGATAATGATATATTCAGTTTAGAAAAATATATTGATTCCCAGGCAGTGACAGCCATGCGTTTTTGCAGGGGAGGATGCCGCTCCCTGCCGTGAGATGGCTTTTACATAGATTACACGGGAAAGGGGGACCTAGGAATAGCCCTGCCCCTCCATAATACATGGTCTCTTTCTTCTAGGTGTTAAATCTGTATCTTTTTTTAAAAAATTCTCTCCAGGAAACCCATCTTTTCCCTCCTCAAGGTCTTCTTGCCCATTGTCTAAAAGCTAATGATTTGTTTTTGTAACTCTAGAGTTTGTGCCCTTTCTCTTTTCAGTCTTAGATGAAAGACTTCAATTTCTTATTCTCTCCCATCTCTGGAGCTTCTTGGTTTGGATTAGATGGAAGGCAATGCAATTATTTTCTCCCGTATTCAACGTGAATGGCTCCACCGTGGGGATTAGGGCTTTGTGTGTTTGGGGGGAATGGGAGGGGAGGGGAAGCGGCGTCTGCCCCCGGGGGTTCTGTGCTGCCCACTTGGCCCCCTTACCCTGGGCCCACCCTGTGTGAGGTCATCCATACCCAGAATTCCAAGACAGGGACAGGCGTCCACTTAGGGTGGGGACTATCCAAGATACGGGAACTCCAAAGAGAACATTTAGCAAAAGAGGATACCTTTTCCTACCCAACCCCACTCTTTTCCCTTCTACTTCCAGACGGTCTGGCCTCCTGGTGATGCTCACGCCGTGATAAGTGTTGGTGGCCGTCAAGGGTTTTGCATCCTGGGGACCAATCCCGAGCTTGCCAGAGACGGACGGCTCAAGGTAGGTCTCTGCTCAGCTCACCTGTGCTGAGAGAAAGGCATTAGGTTGGGCACAGCCAGCTATCTTCTCTAACACTGATTTTATGGGGGAAATGAGGGAAATGTAGCTGCTTCCCTGGCCCTTTGGGTGGGTGACATTTTTACCATAGATGTGGGATGAATTGGTGCTCAGAGCCTCGCTAAGCCAACGGGGCCCTGATCCTCCTGCGATCAACCTCCTAGCATTGTTGTACCTTTTCTTCACTTTCCTGGGTCCCATGGTCTCCAGAAGATCAGATCTAGGGGTGGCCAGTAGCCAGGTGACCTCTAAGCCTCTCACACTGTAATTCTTCTTTTGTAATTTAACTTTTGTCATTATTAAGATAGCATTATTTTTTTATTTTTTTAATATATCTTTATTGATTTCAGAGAGAGAGAGGGAGAGAGAGAGAGTTAAAACATCAATGATGAGTGAGTCGTCATTGATCGACTGCCTCCTGCACTCTCGACTGGGGACCGAGCCCGCAACCTGGGCATGTGCCCTGACCGGGAATCAAACTGTGATCTCCTGGATCCTAGGTCGATGCTCAACTGCTGAGCTATGCCTGGCCGGGCAGCATTATTTTTTTAATTTTTATTTTATTTTATTGATTTGAGAGATAGAATCATCAGTTTGTTGTTCCACTTATTTATGCATTCATTGGTTGATTGTTATATGGGACCTGACCAGGGATCAAACCCCCAAACTTGGCAGATTAGGATAATGCTCTAACCAACTGAGCTATCCTGGCCAGGGCAAAAATAGCATTATTAAATGCCGTTAGAATATTTGTTCATAATGAAAATATTTTAAAGATAGTACCTAAAATTATATGAATTATTACAATTCCAATAACTATTTTAGTGCCTCTTTCCAGGCTTTTTTCTTATGCACATACATAAAGTGTGTGCACATGTATGCACACACACACACATACATGCACACACACCCATGCATGGGCACACACACAAATGGGATTGCACTGTATGTACTGCCTGATGACCTGTTGTTTTGACTTTACAATATGTCACAGGTACCTTTTTTATGCCAGTAAATACAAATCTATAGCGTTTTAAAAGGCTTCATTTATATATATAATAATCTACATGACTTACCTAACTCGGGCCCTAATAGTGGACATTCAGTTTGTTTTTAATATTTCTCTCTCACATACAATACCATAGCAAACATTTTTGTGTATGCATCTCTACATAATCATTTCATTATTTTCTTGGATTAAATTTATAGAAGTCTGGCCTAAAATTTCAATTCAGGATTCTCAGACCTAGATATGAAGACCAGGCAGCCAGGAGAGTTGGGGGGACACGGCCTACCTGTGAGGGCAGAAACCGGATGGAAAAGAAGCTGCAAGGTCGCTTTCGCACACACCTGGCCGGCCAGGAATGTGCCGACAGAAGCGGGGAGTCTGGAGCTGGAGTTGCCAACACTCACCCCTATGCCTTTTCCCGAGGGTCGGGGGGCTCGGCCTGGAATGAAAGTTGGAGGGTGGGGGTCTGGGCACTGGGATTCAGGACAGTTGAGCCTGAGCTGTCCCAGCCTAACATGTCTTGGTGTCACTTGTGCCTGTAGACATCCATGGGCCAAAGCCACCTCTGCACAACACATAGGGCCTGGTGTTGTGTTCTCCACAGTGCCACACTCTGGTGTCTCGACCAGGAGCCTCATGGCTTCTTCCTGGGGCCAACTGATGGCCTATACTCCAGCTGCCTTCTGCAGCAGGGGCCAGAGCAGCAGACCAACAAGGCTCCTGCCATGTCCACATTCTCATCTGGCCAGAGAGCTTTCTTTGGACTCAGAGACGGTAGGGTTGTGGCTGGCCCTCCACTCCCAGAGCCCTTGCACAGAGACAAGAAAATGCAGCCGTGGGATCCTGGGTTACGGGGAGCCGTGGTTGTCAGCAGGAAGCAAGAGGAGGCCCTGGGCTGGGCCTGGATCAGCTGCCAAAATGAAAGAAACATCCACTGCAATCCAGCCTGCTGCCACCCAGCAGCCCAGTGGGGGCGGCTAGCGGGGGCAGAGGGGTTTCTCACCTTGAGAGCTGTGGGCTGTTGACACATGCCTAATGGCACTACCAACCAGCTGGACAGCTGTCCTGGTTGTTTCTGTGATTGTCGGGTTGGAGGAGAGCTGGAAAACTAGCCAGGCAAGCCTGGCTTTAGTGACCATGGCCTTCCCAGCTCCTAGATGGGGCAGAGGCGGAGTTAGTGTCTGGGAAGAGATTGAGGAGATGGTCCTCACAGAGGGCAGCTTCCCTAGGATGTGCCTTTGAGTTGCAGGCACTGTGAGTGTGGCAGGGGGTGAGGTGAGGGGGACAGAGAGGACAGGAGTGATGGGTTCGGTCGTTCCTCTTTTGGGTCTTCTGTACTCCACCACTGCCGCAGGTGGCACATGGGTCTTGTTCAGCTCAGCCTTCGAGATGCGTGTATTTTGGGATGGGGAGGGACGGGGCATACCTGACAGGATACACCTCGTATGGCTTCCGATCTCTATTCACCCACCAGACTGGGGTCCCCCTTGAACCCCTGTTATCTTCCCTACCGCCTGGCCAGTAGCTGCGGACCTCTGACTCATCTCTGCTTTCTCCCATCCACCACTCCTGCCCAGCACCTGCCAGGCTTTCAGTAAATACATCACTGCTCACCCAGCCGCCACTGTTCTTGGGAGCACCACAGAACATGGCCCGGGCTGGGCCTCGCTTTCCCTCACACGAAGGACGCCCACCGATTCCCAAGAAAATGGGAAGGTTCCACGGGCCACTGTGACCTCGGTGCCCGTGGAAGGAGCTATCACTTTCCTATGGAAACTGGACCAGATCACTGGGCTCTGTGCGTCTTGCTCCAAAATGCAAACACGGAGGGCTCCTCTCCATGTGTCAGTGGTTTGATGATATTCACCCCGTAACCAGGGGTGTGGGGCCAGACCAGCCAACAGGAGTGACATCTGACACCTGCACTGCAGTGTGTGGCCCTTGCTGGGGTGGCGCTGAGAGGAGGTGAAGCCGAGGACCTGGTGTGTGCAGAACCAAAGGCTGAGCCAAGAGTAGCATTAGCCTAGGCTTTGGAGGTGGTGAGGGACAAGTGCCGATCTCCATCCGTGCTGAGGAGCGCCCCTGCTGTCATCCCCAGCCTCCATCCCTGGGACTGTCTCAGCACTGCCCCCCAGGCTCTTTGTCCCCCTGGGAGTCTTACATCCTGGGAAGACACTGCAAATGTTTCCAGAATTCATGAGACCTGGGATTGTCCTGCTAGAGAGCAGCGTGGGCTGTGCCTGGGACTCCGCACCCAGGGCAGCCTTCCCCGGCAAAGCTGTCCTGAAGGTGCCCTCGCTGACCACACAGTCCCCATCCTTTCCTTTCTCCCTCCCTCCCTCCAGAAAGTCTTGCTTCATTGCCTCCCCAGTCCCTCCTCCCTCCTCTTCTTTCATATCCATCCCCCTGTGGCCTCCGTGGCTTCCACCCCAAGGACGGACCTGTGGGCAGACGTTTCCGTGCGGCTACTACCAACACATACGCTGTGTCATCCACTCGTCCTTTGTCCATGCTGCCTCTCCCAGCCCTGCCCTGGGAACCAGAGCAGCTCCCGCTTCCCACTGGGCATCTGGGCACTGAGACCCTGAGGGGACCATGTAACCACGCCAGGTGCCCAGGCACCACCCGAGCAGCACCGGTCCATCCTCACGCAGACCCTGCAGCTGTTCCCCGCCTTCCCATTGTCCGCAGACCTCCAGCCTGCTGCCCAGCTCAGGATCAGCTGATGGGGCTGGGATGGAGCACACAGCAGCTCGCTCTAGCTGCAAAACCACATTTGGCACCTGGGCTAGAAATAGCTTGTCTGCAAACCTCAGAGTTTATTTTGTGGCCAAATTTGATTTTCCAAGTGACCTGTCTCCTTCCTTACCTTACACCTGCCCCAGCAGCCAGGGCTGCGGGAACAGTTGTGAGTCTGTGTCTGCAGGAAGGCACCTGGCTCAGGGTCCATGGGGGTGACACCCAGCCTGTACTATGCAAGCTTTGCTATGCACTGTGAGTGTTCAGAGGGAGGTGCCTCTTTCTAATTTGCACAAAAATGCCGAATAGGCTAGTAGTAGCCCTGCCGGAGTCCCTCCTGCTCTGTGTACAAGTCACGCCATGTATACATTTGTCCGTTGACTGTGTAAGGGTATGCGTCTCCCTTTTTGATGATCTCAAATAGTCACAGGTCACTCAGAAGAACTTTTAAGCTTTTGTCTTCCAATCATAAATTCTCGTAACATGATGATAGATGCCAGGAGCAATGGGGCTGTATGTAGGAGGAATACCTATGGCCACTCATTCCTTCATTTCTTCTGCCACAGACTATATTTTTCTAGGTTCGGGGTCCGGCAAGGTCATATAAAAAGCCCTGTCCCCAAGGAGCTAGCAGTCCAGTGGGGAGAGCAGCAAGTAAACACATTCTTATAAGATTTGATAAATACAATAGGAATTTATACAAAGTGCTATAGAGCACGACTCATTCACTCAACAAATATTTCTTGAGCAGCTGCTATGTATCAGGCATCAGTCTAGGCACTGGAGACACAGCAGTGACCAAATGAGACAAAGTCCCTGACTCGGAGCTCACAGAGTCCTCAGCAACTTAGTTTGGTCAAAACCACAGGCTTCCAAAAAGAGATAACTTTAAGCTAGAAGTTAAAGTCTAGGTGTGTGTATGTGTGTTCAGGGAATGTTCCAGGCAGTAAGAACAGCTTGTGCAAAGACCTGGAGGTATAAAAAGACGAGAGCTCAGAGACTCTTTGGCAGCCTCATGCTCTGGGCAGTCCCTGCCCCACCCTTGATTTGTTAGAATATCCAAGGCCAAGGTCATAGGGCTTATTTTACCTCCTTCTGTGACCTAGTGCTTTTAGTTTGCTAAGTGTTTTCACATAATTCCCTGTACTTGGTCCAGAGGGGGGGCCCAGAGGGATTATTATTGCCATTTATTATA